AATAAATAAATTCTAAATAAAATAGCACAAAAAATAATTATGATAATAAAAGGTGATATACTGTAATTTTTAATAAAGAAATTGATTGAAAACTAAAATTTATTAAAAGCACTTTATCTTTTTTTTTATTAAATTTTATGCTATTAAGAGATTTAATTAATTAATGTAATATAAAGATCACCATAAATTTCTCTCTTTCTTTTGAATATACACTCTTAAGATCTATTAATTTAATATAAATTTTACATTCTTGTTCAGGTCAATAATAAGTAACTAAAAAAAGTTAATTAAAAAATAGCTCAATATTTAATGGACTATCTCGACATTTAAGCAATTCAACAGGATCAGAATTTTTATTTAGATTTAAACAATGAGATTCTATTAACTATAGAGATATTTTACAGATTATCAAAAAATTCGATTGGAACTAATATTTTAAAATATATATGATATATCATGTCCTATATATCTACTATTGAAAATAGAACATGATAAAGATGCATAAAACTAACCTAAAAGGAATTTTTTAATTTATTTTTTTTAAATTTGCCATCTGACACCAACACAAAATTTTTGGAACCACCTGAATTATTTAAGAAATTTACATTTAATATTATTTTAAAATAAAGTTTATTTATTAATTATTAATAATGTAGAAAGTTTTAAAACAAAGAAACAATTATTAGATATTATAATATTTGCCAATTGATATTTGACATTGCTGAAAAATTTTAATATGTATATGACACAGATTTTCTCCCATGATTAATTTTAATTTAAATAGCAAATTAAATTAAATGAATTTCCATGATTCTATATGTAATATATTTTACTAAATATCTATAGAGCAACATAAATGCATCATAAGCTCATCTATGGATTATTAGAAATAGGTTGAAGATATCAAGTTAAAAACTTAGGTTACTGTATGTGATGGAAAAGTTTAAAAGTGTGAAGGTTTCAAAAAGAGAGGAAAATGCCTAAAAAAAATCAATTTTCAAATTCAATGTACTGAAGAAGGAGAACTTCAATATGTTTATCAAGGTGAAATCCTTTAGAGGTATGATTAAATTTAATAATGAAGAATTAAATTTAATGATTAACTAACCAAGCCCTAAACAATAACAAATTTAGAAGAAATCTTTCATCTATTATGGGTAGGAGTATAAGAAAAGAATTAATAAAAAGCTGGATAATGGATAGCCATGTGGAAGGGTGAAAATTTGTTTGGTTGTGGAGGGTAGTATTCTTCAGATGGAAAAAAATAAGGTATATGGAAAGAAATGATCAAAGATTTTTATGAGTAAACAATTAAAATTAATCATTAGAAATTCAAAAGCGTTTGAAATTGGAGAATATGTTAATGGCTAAAGAAAAGGATATTGGAAATATGTCTATGAAAATATAGAAATGTATGAAGTTTA